ATAATTCCATGCCCCATAAGATACTCTATTTCACTGTTACTGCCCGATGGCACACAAAGACTCGGTCACAGGAAAAACTGTTGTTGCAGTACCGTTCAAGTCAATAACCGATTCTTACATGCCATTCAAACTAAGCTTTATGCGAACTGTCATTTTCGTGAACCTGCTACTTACAATCAAGTAAAACCATACCTTTGCACACCGAACAAGCACTGATGATGTGTTTCCCGTTACCTACCGTACTTATTATTATGACAAGTTTTCAGCAAGTTCGGACAAAACGGTATTATCTGTACATCGCAGGATTCAAGAAAATGAGTGAAAATTTTAATCTTAGTTGTTGTGTATGCACCTAATACCTTCAAATTATGATCGCTGCATTTTTAGCTGCGAATCAATATTGCAACAAAGCATCGTAGAAAGAATAATTTCACCTGTCCGAAAGCGGATCTGCCTCGACAGAGGCAGCGCTTGAATCGTTGCACTGTCAGAGTCTGCAATAAAAATCTTGAAATCCTAAGAGATACCGTAACACATCGTTACCGTTTCGTGAGAGATATTCGGAAATCACGTCTCTTCTCATCTAAGAGAGTTATTGATTAGAAAAATAACTTGATTGTGTGAAAGAGTTCTTGTGTGGTTTTCCATTAATTATGGAGTTCGTCTGGGAAATGTGCTTATTCCTTGCCATTCAACATTCTCCTCCACTCTCTTCTTCGAAACAGTGTCCTGGCAAATGCAAAGGTGTTTTACTGGAAAGAACGCGCAACATATTCAGTCAGTTGTCTTGATAACCTGGACTAAGCAGATAGCAACCTTTTGGTTTAGCCGTAAAATTTGGCTATTGCCTTAGCCATAGGTCAAAAGCTGTATACAATCTGTTGGGCACAGCGAATTTAAAAGTGAAACAATATTGCTGAAGCACTTCAGGCTAGTCACTTAAGGCGTATTGGCTCGATCATCTCTATCGATGGCACCACCCGATCAAAGTAAATAAAATGACTGTCCTAGCTTGGTGTGCTTTAGAAACATGTCCAATGTCTGGTTTGAGAAAGACTTAATTTTCTTCGTAGCTACCCTCTGCACGTCATTTCGATCAAAACTGTATTATTACACAGCATGACAACAACTGTCTCTAACAAAGAGATGGAACAATAGTTGGCCTGTGCAGAGAAAGGTTGGTTTCGAACCATAATGAAGGTTAAATGGCAGGGCAACATAAAGAAAGACTTTACTCTCTTCCGGACAGAGGTTCACTCAGTAGATATGGAGATGAAGAGAAAAACTTGATCCTATTAGAATGTAAGTGCAGACTATTTAATCCAGCCCACCGGCTTCTTACTTGAGAGCTAAATCTGTGGTAATCGACTGGGCTGCAAGCATTCAAAACTGATGAACGGCAGAAGCAGATAAGATTTTGAGAAGTT